TTCGACAATTTTCTTTTTATAGAAATTTTCAATAAAATTTTTCTTTTCTAGAAATTTTCGGATAAATCTTTTTTTTTCTAGAAAATGTTCGGACAAATTATCTTTTTCTAGAAATTTTTTCGGACAAATTTTCTTTTTCTAGAAAAATAATTTGTTTTTTATAGAAAATGTTGGAATAATTTCTTATAGAAAATTTTTGGATAAATTTTCTTTTGATATAGAAAATTTTCTATTACTATTCCTTTTTATAGAAAATTTACGATTTTCTTTTAAAAAATTGTATTTATGTCTTTTATTGGTTTTGAAAAAGAATACTGTTTTAATCAAATACAAAATACATATATATTCCAGTTTAAATCTTAGCCAAATGACCAGCAAAATACACCGCAGATTTACTGCGAATTCCGAAAATGAAAGGATGATCGGCCAAGAACAAAGGAGCTTTACGGCAATCTACTTCCTCTCCTATTAGAGAACATTTCTTTAGATTTTATAAAAGTAATACCGCAAATAAATACCTGAAGCAGCAGCTGACTCCGCACCAGTTTCATCAATTTCAAAAACAGATTTTTGTTTAACAGCAGAAATAAACTGATTCGCAGAAGAATCGAATATACCACTAAAATCAGCTTTATCGGAAAATATATTGGATAAGCCGATCTAAGAAGATAGAAAAGAAAGAAGATAGAAAATAAAAATTTCAATGAAATTAATGCTAAATATACATAAAAACCCGTTTACCTTTTCTAAAGTTTCACGTAAATCCTGTTCATGTTCTATACGGAATTTGGGTATATAGGCACACACATCCTTAAAGGCCAATCTCGAGGGTATATAGTTAAATTCCAAACTTTTTAGATGTTTCTCTAACTCTGCTAAACCTTCAATATCATCCGGTAATATAATAATTAGAGCCATATCGGTATTATTGAAAGGCAATTCTAAAGCCTGGGCTTTTATATCCTTCAATTGGGCATAGCTGAATTTTCCTCTGATATGCATCAGGTCCACTTTGCTTATTTCTTTTAAATTTAGCTTGAAATCTGCTGTTTTAGTTTCCTCCTTATTAAAAGCATATTTCCATTTACCCTTGAAATAAAGCCCATTAACCAATAGCACATTGGTAAAAGGATCAATATCATTTTCATGCAATACATGCTTAACTTTATCATTAGTTTGTTGCTCGATCCATTTATTTATTTTATCTATAGTCAATTTATTTTCTGCAAAGTTAACATTTTCCACAAGACTTTCGAAATTGTCCTTAAGAATTCTATTAAATTCTGGTGAAATTTTAAAACCCGCGGGTATGTATATACCATTAGCCAGAAACAATTGGGGATCACCGGTTTTTGTATTACTCTTCGTTGGTAGGAGAGTTTTCAGAAATTCACCAAAATCTTGTGCCACACGATTTGTATCCACTGGCTCTAGTCTGAGTATAGTGCGCAGATCTTCAGCTGTTTTACCTTTAGCACCGGCATATATTGAAGTCAAAGCTGTTTCGGCAGCTAGCGGGGAAAAGAAAATATTCTCGGATGATTTGGATTCAACTAACGAATGAAAGAGATCGGCAGCCAATAGGTTATGACTACCCGGTTCTGGGAATGGATTTTTTTCTCCCTGTACCAGGTTTAAGCAAATAATTGCTGCTAAAAATAAAGCTGAAAAGAAGAATATTATGTTTGGGGAATTATCTTAATTGAACATCGTTTAACTTACCCATATTCTTAAGCGGTATTAACATGTTTAAAGCAAGTGTCTCTATTTGTCTGAAGTTGTGTCGTCACTACAGTTGCAGAAATCGTACTGAAAGAAAATATCGTCTTCTACTGATATTTATATAGAATTTTATATTGAAAGAACAATTATTTTTAACTATTTCTATGTAAAGTTCCCTTTAAGCAATCAACTCCTGTTGATCTTTAGAACTGAGTAGCTGATACTTGCGAATACAGAAATTGAGTGGATTTAAAAAAAAAAAAAAACTACTTAAGTTACTCTTTTAGAGTTTTCATTTGAGTTGGAGTCTAAGGTTTTCTGAATCCGAAAAAACTGGCGTAAAACAAATGTTCCTTTAAGAAGTTTTTTTTATCAATTTGCTCTTTAGAAAGAATTTTTTGAAAAATTTTTATAAACCTCTACTCAATGTATGAAAACTCTATATTAAACTGGAATATTTTGAGTTACTCTATTAGGAGTTACTCACTCAATAAACTCTACTTTTGATTACTTACATAAAGACATTAATTTATATAGTCGTTTTAATAAAATAAAAAAGGATACAGAATCAAGTATTCTAAAAGCATATAAATTTTAATATTGTGTAAAAAATAGGTATTAAATGGAACTGGTTTTTATACATTTTAGATATTATCAATGTGCAACTGTGGAAAAGGTATTAAACCTAAAGTTTTGCCAAGACTAGGTGCATACGTTGCTTTTCTACATACATACGTATAAAACGATGGTTATAGGATCTATATACCTTATGTACAATTGTCTATTTTTAACACATCTACACCCTTTACGAGAAGTTACACTATTTCCAATAGTATTTTAAAATGTTCGTATTCAATGTCAGAAACTCCGCTCTATGTCACTCTATCACTCATCTCCTTTACTATTTGTTTTACTAAGCCTGAAGGTACTGACATCTAAGGATTCACAGTCGAAACCCTCACCCCGCATATACTTAGAGCACCTTCCGAGTACATTCTTCTCTTTCGCCTCTACAGTAGGATTCTATAGTTGAAACGAAAAGTCGACTTTTCGACTTTTTGCATTTTATGAAAATTCGATTTTTCGACCTTTCGACTTTTTTCATTTAATTAAAAGTCGACTTTTAGTATTTTATAAATAGTCAACTTGTCGACTTTTTTCGACTTTTTTGATTTTTTCGACTTTTTGACTATTTTCGACTTCTTTTGACTTTTTTCGAGTTTTTCCAACTATTTTAGAGTTTTTGACTTTTTTTCCACTTTTTTTAAATTATCGACTATTTTTGACTATTTTCTACTATTTTCCAGTTTTCGACTTTTTCCGACATATTTCGACTTTTTTCGACTAATCGACCTTTTTCGACTAATCGAATTTTTTCGACTTTCCGACTTTTTTTCGACTTTTATTTACAAAGTCGACTTTTCGACTTTTTTCATAGACGATAGGCGAGTTATCAACTTTTTTGAAACAAAATAGTCAACTTCGACTTTTTGATTTTTCTCGACAAAAAGTCGATTGTTCGATTATTCGAAAGTCGATCTATAGAACCCTACTCTACAGTCTTCTCAATGACATGCTGTACGCTTGATGTTTTGATTGTTTGCCGTGAAGGTCATGTTATCCAGCTCCTTACATTGCTCGCGAGTAGATCGTCTATTGAATTCTTTAGGTCCTGCTCCGTAACTTTAATATTTTGATCTGGACTATATTTTTTTTTAGTTTGTTGTTTGTTAAAGAGAACACTTCCTTATTGGCCCGGGTAATAACACATTCCCTAGGAGAGTACAGATTGTCCATCACTTTCTCTTATCTACCACTCGGGAACGTGCTCGGTAGGAGGTTGACTGGTTTTTATACACTTTACTACTATAGAGGGGAGGGTAACGCACTAAAATATTGATAATATTTGGAGCATACATCTCCAAAGTTGAAGCCTATCGAAAATGTTTAAAATCATATAGACCCCATAATACCGGACCCAATAGGGCATTCGAGTTCATAATTAAATTCAATATATTGATATTTCCACTAAAATCAGCAAAACGAATTAACAACATAAATATCTGATCCATATCTCTCCATCTAATTTTATGAAAATCGGCCCATTATTGACCCTAGACCCCATATGAAGCCTATTCTATCATATAGACCCCATAATACCGGACACAATAGGGCATTCGAGTTCATAATTACATTCAATATATGATATTTCTACTAAAATCAGCAAAACAAATTAACAACATAAATATCTGATCTATATCTAATTTTATGAAAATCGGCTCATACTTGACCCTAGCCCCCATATGAAGCCTATTCTAAACAACAAAAAGTATAATCGGGTAAAGCGGACCATATAATAAAAGAAATTGCTATTTTTGGTTGATAGAAATGTGTATAATATATCAGATTCGAAGAAATACTTCTAGGCTGATATCGGACCTGATGCGCTTTCTTATATAGATCTCTATGAAGATATATTATCGTCCAATGTTTAGAAACACACACGGGATATAGTTTCCTCAAATTGTACAATCTGTGTATCTAACTGAGAAATGCAATATTTTGGATAAGATTACTCCCAAGACATTTCAATCAAATTTCCATGAAAGTCCGATAATAAAACAAAGTTTTCCAGAGTTTCGTTGTCCTCCCTACAAGATCTACGTACATACACTGATACAGTTATATAGCTCTGTATATAGCTACTTATGGCGACGCTTCTTACGTAGTATCGTTAGGGGCACCCCATAGAATCTTTGTGGTTCTACCGATCTTTTCATTATTTAAAGTGTTGGTGCAGCATTCTCTCGCCTATGTTTTCAATTCAGCCATTGTTGCGTGGAATACTTTTGAATTCGTCTGGTTAACGTTCTCGAGATCCCTTTATGGCAATTATATTTCGTTGACGATTATTCCCGAATGACCTGGATCCCATATGATTCAAAGCATACCTAAGTCGGTTCAGGCTCTCTTGTAGTTCAAAACGGTTCAGTTCGGTCCTGATATCGCCTTAATTACCTTCTGGCTGTCAGTTAAATAATCCTGTTTACACATTTCCTTGTTGCACGGACTTCTGCGTGGAAGTCTAGAGTTGTGGGAAAGATTTCCAGGAAAGTTTTTGGCTCACAGTTTAAATCAATAAATGTATTCCTATGGGTATTTGCTATAATGATCTTCTATTTGGGATCAGTTCCAAAAATTTCCGACAAATTATCTTTAGTATGCGATCTCGTTTGTCAGATGTTTCTATATAGCCTTCCGAATCGGGTCAATTTGCCTAAATATAGGAGCTGTTCGCAGTAAAAGCCGTAAATTTCATTCAAATTATCGGAATTTTGATCATAATTTAATCATAATTTAAAAATACTTTGGATTTTTGGTGTATGGTATAATATGGTCGGAAATGACCGACTATGCTTTTTTACTTGTTCTTTTAATGAATGATAACGAACTTTTTTCAATGGTTTTAAATCGAGGAACTGGTTTTTAGAACTGTTATTTTTTTTTTTTAATATTTTTTAGTGAAATAAATGTCTGGCAGCTGTTTTATCATTGTCCTTTTTTCAAGTTTAAACCAAAACTAGTTTTATAAATATTTTTTAAATTTTGCATATATGCAAAACAAATTACACTGTTGCCTTATGTATTTCAGATTTCGATCGAAACATCGAACGATCGACGTTCGTTAACTACTTTTGTCTACGACTTGATATGTCCTAAAGAGGAACTCTTAACCTTAAATATTTTTAAACAATTTATTCACTTCTTTCTCGTATAATTATAATCAACATTTATTTATTTCAATATTAAAAAACTTAAATTATTATTACAACACTAAAAGCAAGATCATTGGTCTTTTTAAATCTTCCTGACTTAAGTTTTCTGCCATACAAATCTACACCTAGCCTTGCTTCTATACAGCTTAACTTATATTATAATATCACAATAAATAATTATTTAAATAAAGTCTTAGATGACTACTATAAAGCAATTGGAATAAAACAAAACTTTAAAAATCCATTAAACAAACACGCGCCTTAGAATATGCAATATCAATAAAGCACTTATCGCTAAGCTGCAACTTGAAGCCGATAACTGGCTAACACCACTATCGATTGCACTTTTGTATTTTCCTGCTACATAAATCATCATAGATATCCTCCATGCTGCGGGGATTAATATCACTCTTCATTTGCTGTAGGCCACCAATTCATCGGTTTGATCACGGAATATGATATTGTTTTGACGATCGAAAACCCCATACATGGTGAAAAGGTCTAACATCATCTTTGAATTTCTTGCCAAAGAGACCATCTATTTCTCGTAGAGAATTGAAAATTTCATTTTGTCCTTGCCAGAGGACCATCATGAGTCATTATATAGCCTCGGGTAGTCCAGTGCATGTAGCAGAATTCAAATTTCGAATGTCTTACGTTGGCACCATAGGGAACATAGGATTTGAAAGATTTGTGACCCGATTGTTTTAACCCAGGGAGAAGTTAAATTGCCTGATATGTATTTCTTGTAGTGTCGGAGCTTATAAAGGCCACTTCTCCCTCTTGGGCTAAACATCTCAAGGCAACCCTCGTCACCTCTGTAAACATCAGAGCAAGTTTGTCTCCATGCCATAGGCAAGAGTGACGTGAGAAAATATTTGTGTGGAGCAATACGTTGTCCAGTTTTATTGTGTAGTCGTTCTAAAACCGAGAGATAGGCAGCCCCTCATACGAAGGTAAACAGGCTTGGCTCCTTCTAAGTCTTGGAATGTGACGAATTTTGAGTCCCTTGGTGAACCACAGCTATTGTGGCATAGAGATCATGCATATTTTGTGAGTATTCAAAGAGTATGGGTTGTAACTTATATTCCTGTTGAGCTTTCAAACGCTGTTCATTGCCCAACAAGACTAACATCGGCAGCTTTATATTTAATATCATCCATACAAGTGGTCCAGAGTAGCGGATCTTATGCATTGTATATTGGGTTGGACCCATAAACTTGAGAAGCTTCCTGTAACCCAAGAACCTTGATATGGTTCTATAACAGAAGTGGTGCAGAAAACAATCGAACGCGGAGGATTACATTCTGGGAAACTGTAGGCACTTTGAAACCCGTAGCCTGATCTAAATAATCATCTATGGGTATGACATTGTCAAGGTATTAATATCAACATGGAAATTTTCCAATAAACTCAAAAAGAGGCATTTTGCCAACTGGAAGGATTGTCATGATTAATGCCCGTCACTAGACGTTGCACCTGAGCAGCATGAGAACGACGGGCAGCTATAACGGCCAGGGTTTGGCTACCCAAACACAGGGTCTAGTCGTGTTAATGGGTTGTAAATGGCCATCAGCACATAAGTAACTATATTCACTGGGATTAGCTTGTGCCAATAAACCGGACAACTGCAAAAAAAATTCATAAATTTAATATATAACTTTAGTCGACTTTTGTTAGAATACATACCCCAAAATGACTTTTTAACATCATCCAAACGAGCCCAGGCCACACTACCACCACCACTGGTGAGACAGTACAGGGCTCCTCTTCTACCCCAATGTTTGTCTCAATATCACATCTATAGGGATCATAACACATTTGACACACGAGGGATAACGATCTTTTAATTGGCGATCCTGCTTAGGATTTTGGTACCCAAGGTCCAGCCGTACAGCTGGGACCAAAGAAACGAGCCGAAGCTCTAATACGATCTTCAGAAATAGACATTTCCGGGTCACATGACTTACCACCATGGTGGACTCGAAGTACTAAAGTATAGAAAACACATAAATAAACAAACCAAACTTTTAATAAGGAAAAAAAACAACTCACATAGCTAAAAACATCGGTCCAATGATTTTTCAAACCATAACCCGGGTGGCATAACTTAGCACACCCTTTAGATCGTGCACCGTGTGAATATCAGCTTCATTATCTACGACAGCTACTACCTCATACTCGAATGGTGCATCGTGGGATCTTAGTTCACTTGTCACCAATATCTCGACACTAGCCCAACGTGCCGCCACCAAATCCTCGGAGGATAGCACACCAAAATGTGCTGTACCCTTGTGTATACGCCTCACACAATCCAGACGATCCACGCCCACTACACATTCCATATTGCTGGTAGCTTCTAGCATGGGACAGAATTGTGGTGCCTTGCGATAGTGTCCTCGCGATTCAACAATGCAAACGCGTACTGTAAAAGGAAAGAGAGGGGAAGAAGGATAAGGATTAATTTATTTCGGTAAAATTCTCATGCAGCTTATACAAATTTTGATATTTTCATTTTACGGTTTTTTCAATTTTAAGTAAGTTCTAGTTCAGTACTAGTTCAGTTCTAGTTCAGTTCAAGTTCAGTTCTAGTTCAGTTCTAGTTCAGTTCTAGTTCAGTTCTAGTTCAGTTCTAGTTCAGTTCTAGTTCAGTTCTAGTTCAGTTCTAGTTCAGTTCTAGTTCAGTTCTAGTTCAGTTCTAGTTCAGTTCTAGTTCAGTTCTAGTTCAGTTCTAGTTCATTTCTAGTTCAGTTCTAGTTCAGTTCTAGTTCAGTTCTAGTTCAGTTCTAGTTCAGTTCTAGTTCAGTTCTAGTTCAGTTCTAGTTCAGTTCTAGTTCAGTTCTAGTTCAGTTCTAGTTCAGTTCTAGTTCAGTTCTAGTTCAGTTCTAGTTCAGTTCTAGTTCAGTTCTAGTTCAGTTCTAGTTCAGTTCTAGTTCAGTTCTAGTTCAGTTCTAGTTCAGTTCTAGTTCAGTTCTAGTTTAGTTCTACTTCAGTTCTAGTTCAGTTCTAGTTCAGTTCTAGTTCAGTTCTAGTTCAGTTCTAGTTCAGTTCTAGTTCAGTTCTAGTTCAGTTCTAGTTCAGTTCTAGTTCAGTTCTAGTTCAGTTCTAGTTCAGTTCTAGTTCAGTTCTAGTTCAGTTCTAGTTCAGTTCTAGTTCAGTTCTAGTTCAGTTCAGTTCAGTTCAGTTCTAGTCCAGTTCTAGTTCAGTTTTAGTTCAGTTCTAATTCAGTTCTAGTTCAGTTCTAGTTCAGTTCTAGTTCAGTTCTAGTTCAGTTCTAGTTCAGTTCTAGTTCAGTTCTAGTTCAGTTTAGTTCTAGTTCAGTTCTAGTTCAGTTCTAGTTCAGTTCTAGTTTAGTTCTACTTCAGTTCTAGTTCAGTTCTAGTTCAGTTCTAGTTCAGTTCTAGTTCAGTTCTAGTTCAGTTCTAGTTCAGTTCTAGTTCAGTTCTAGTTCAGTTCTAGTTCAGTTCTAGTTCAGTTCTAGTTCAGTTCTAGTTCAGTTCTAGTTCAGTTCTAGTTCAGTTCTAGTTCAGTTCTAGTTCAGTTCTAGTTCAGTTCTAGTTCAGTTCTAGTTCAGTTCTAGTTCAGTTCTAGTTCAGTTCTAGTTCAGTTCTAGTTCAGTTTTAGTCCAGTACTAGTTCAGTTCTAGTTCAGTTTTAGTCCAGTACTAGTTCAGTTCTAGTTCAGTTCTAGTTCAGTTCTAGTTCAGTTCTAGTTCAGTTCTAGTTCAGTTCTAGTTCAGTTCTAGTTCAGTTCTAGTTCAGTTCTAGTTCAGTTCTAGTTCAGTTCAGTTCTAGTTCAGTTCTAGTCCAGTTCTAGTTCAGTTCTAGTTCAGTTTTAGTTCAGTTCTAGTTCAGTTCTAGTTCAGTTCTAGTTCAGTTCTAGTTCAGTTCTAGTTCAGTTCTAGTTCAGTTCTAGTTCAGTTCTAGTTCAGTTCTAGTTCAGTTCTAGTTCAGTTCTAGTTCAGTTCTAGTTCAGTTCTAGTTCAGTTCTAGTTCAGTTCTAGTTCAGTTCTAGTTCAGTTCTAGTTTAGTTCTACTTTAGTAGTTCAGTTCTAGTTCAGTTCTAGTTCAGTTCTAGTTCAGTTCTAGTTCAGTTCTAGTTCAGTTCTAGTTCAGTTCTAGTTCAGTTCTAGTTCAGTTCTAGTTCAGTTCTAGTTCAGTTCTAGTTCAGTTCTAGTTCAGTTCTAGTTCAGTTCTAGTTCAGTTTTAGTCCAGTACTAGTTCAGTTCTAGTTCAGTTCTACTTCAGTTCTAGTTCAGTTCTAGTTCAGTTTTAGTCCAGTACTAGTTCAGTTCTTGTTCAGTTTTAGTTCAGTTCTAGTTCAGTTCTTGTTCAGTTCTAGTTCAGTTCTAGTTCAGTTTCAGTTCTAGTTCAGTTCTAGTTCAGTTCTAGTTCAGTTCTAGTTCAGTTCTAGTTCAGTTCTAGTTCAGTTCTAGTTCAGTTCTAGTTCAGTTCTAGTTCAGTTCTAGTTCAGTTCTAGTTCAGTTCTAGTTCAGTTCTAGTTCAGTTCTAGTTCAGTTCTAGTTCAGTTCTAGTTCAGTTCTAGTTCAGTTCTAGTTCAGTTCTAGTTCAGTTCTAGTTCAGTTCTAGTTCAGTTCTAGTTCAGTTCTAGTTCAGTTCTAGTTCAGTTCTAGTTCAGTTCTAGTTCAGTTCTAGTTCAGTTCTAGTTCATTCTAGTTCAGTTCTAGTTCAGTTCTAGTTCAGTTCTAGTTCAAGTTCTAGTTCAGTTCTAGTTCAGTTCGAGTTCAGTTTCTAGTTCAGTTCTAGTTCAGTTCTAGTTTCAGTTTCTAGTCAGGTTCTGTTCTAGTTCTAGTTCTAGTTCAGTTCTAGTTCTAGTCCCCGTCACAAACAGGGTTCTTGATGTGGTAATTCCTTTGGCGAAGAATTAGGTTGTCAGTAATAGGGGAAAAAGGTCATTGCTACAAGGCCAAAAGCTACATATGAAGTTTATAAAATCTGATATTTAAAGTTATACACTCAATTGCCTAATGGTAATCACTACAAATGTACACATATAGAGCTGGTATAGATTTGGGTTAATTAATTGACAGCACTATACCTATTTCCCAAAGGCAATTTAATACAGATATCATTGGGTACATACGATATCACATGCAGTTTTTTTATAAGTTCAATGATATAGAAAGACACATTTTTTACTTAGTTCAATGCCAAAAGCAGTCAAAAAATTGATGGATCTTTTCTTGTGAATTGGAAAGAAATAAACAAAAAACACATAAATAAAATCTACATGTGTACATTTTTTTTCTAGTTCAGTTCTAGTTCAGTTCTAGTTCAGTTCTAGTTCAGTTTTAGTCCAGTACTAGTTCAGTTCTAGTTCAGTTCTACTTCAGTTCTAGTTCAGTTCTAGTTCAGTTTTAGTCCAGTACTAGTTCAGTTCTTGTTCAGTTTTAGTTCAGTTCTAGTTCAGTTCTTGTTCAGTTCTAGTTCAGTTCTAGTTCAGTTCTAGTTCAGTTCTAGTTCAGTTCTAGTTCAGTTCTAGTTCAGTTCTAGTTCAGTTCTAGTTCAGTTCTAGTTTCAGTTCTAGTTCAGTTCTAGTTCAGTTCTAGTTCAGTTCTAGTTCAGTTCTAGTTCAGTTCTAGTTCAGTTCTAGTTCAGTTCTAGTTCAGTTCTAGTTCAGTTCTAGTTTCTAGTTCAGTTCTAGTTCAGTTCTAGTTCAGTTCTAGTTCAGTTCTAGTTCAGTTCTAGTTCAGTTCTAGTTCAGTTCTAGTTCAGTTCTAGTTCAGTTCTAGTTTCTAGTTCAGTTCTAGTTCAGTTCTAGTTCAGTTCTAGTTCTAGTCCCCGTCACAACAGGGGTTTCTTGATGTGGTAATTCCTTTGGCGAAGAATTAGGTTGTCAGTAATATGGGAAAAGGTCATTGCTAACAATGGCCAAAAGCTACATATGAAGTTTATAAAATCTGATATTTTAAAAAGTTATACACTCAATTGCACTAAATTGTAATCACTACAAATGTACACATATAGAGCTGGTATAGATTTGGGTTAATTAATTGACAGCACTATACCTATTTCCCAAAGGCATTTAATACAGATATCATTGGTACATACGATATCATGCAGTTTTTTTATAAAGTTCATGATATAGAAAGACACATTTTTTACTTAGTTCAATGCCAAAAGCATCAAAAATTGATGGATCTTTTTCTTGTGAAATTGGAAAGAAATAACAAAAAAACACAATAAATAAAATCTACATGTGTACATTTTTTTTTTGAACAATTAACGTTAACATATTAAATAATTAACCGGTTTAGATGCAGTTTTTTTTTTTCTATATATTTTTATAATTATTTAGCTAAAAGACCCGCTGCGAACCTATAAACACACTTACTTACATATTATATAAATAAAAAACCAAAACCGGTAAAATACTATATTTTTTTGAACAGTTTTAAAGAGAACTTGTAGCTTGTGTGTTCCATAGATTACACTTTAAAATGTAAATAAATAAGAAACAACGTCAAAGCCCGTGAACCCCAGAATATGTTAACCTTGATTATCGTGATTTGTACAAAAATCATATAAAATACGAGAAATACTACGTACGGAAAGATAACTGCTAAACTATTAATAGCAAAATTGAATTAAATATTGTCAGTTTTAGATGAGTCACTTTGTTTTAAGCGGCAAAATTTCTCGCATAATAATAGTTTGTGGTGGAATACCCAGACTTAAACGTTTTTTTTCTGTGATTTTTTTCCATTTTTTTTTTTTGTTAATATATCATGCAATTTGCATTGAAAGTATTTTACAATTCATTTTGCGTATTTGAATGATAAAAATATAAAATATCTTTTGCTACACGTTTAAGTGTATATCTTAACAATAATTCAATTTTAAATGTTTTTATTACATTATATTTCAATATTTAGCTATAATTATGAATTTATGTTGAAGTACTTGTTTTTATTGTAAACGTAAAAACACTTGCGTTACATTTGAATGTAAGGTAAAATACTGAACTGATTACATTGAAAACTGTATAATAAATGTACCAAAAAAAAAAAAATTTATTAATTAATGCATGTTTATTTCCCCTTGTGCTGAAGTATTTGTAGCAATCTACAGTTATCTATAAAAGTTTTCATATAACTAATGTTTTGCTGTTAATAAGCCATTTTATAAATCGTTCTGGGGATTCAAAAATCTCATATTCTGTGTTCAAGATTAAACAAAGGTAAAGTCTATAGTAAGGACTTTATAACCGACTAAATATAGTCAAAACTGTAATGCAGACTACAGACTATACAATAGATAAAACTATAGTAAAATATAGACCCGAATATAACCTAGGCTCTAGGCCAGACAATAGTTCAGACTATAGACTAGTCTATAGTCCAGTCTATAGTCCTATATAGGACTATAGTCTAAACCATAGACTATTCTCTATTCTATAGCCTAGCCTATAGACTATTCTATAGTCCAGACTATAGACTATTCTTTAGTCCAGACTATAGACTATTTTATAGTCCAGACTATAGACTATTTTATAGTCCAGACTATAGACTATTCTATAGAACAGACTATAGACTATTCTTTAGTCCAGACTATAGACTATTCTATAGTCCAGACTATAGACTATTCTTTAGTCCAGACTATAGACTATTTTATAGTCCAGACTATAGACTATTCTATAGTCCAGACTATAGACTATTCTATAGTCCAGACTATAGACTATTCTATAGTCCAGACTATAGCATAGTCTATAGACCAGACTATAGACTATGCTATAGTCCAGACTATAGACTATTATATAGTCCAGACTATAGACTGGGCTATGGTCTGGACTATAGTCTGGACTATGGTCTGGACTATAGTCTGGACTATAGTTTGGACTTTAGTGTAGCCAATAGTCCAGTCTATAGTCTATATAGGACTATAGTCCAGACCATAGACTATTCTCTAGTCTATAGACTAGACTATAAACTATTCTATAGTCCAGACTATAGACGATTCTATAGTCCGGACTATATACTACTCTTTAGTCTAGACTATATACTATTCTATAGCCTAGCCTATAGACTATTCTATAGTCCAGACTATAGACTATTCTTTAGTCCAGACTATAAACTATTCTTTAGTCCAGACTATAGACTATTCTTTAGTCCAGACTATAGACTATTCTATAGTCCAGACTATAGACTATTCTATAGTCCAGACTATAGACTATTCTATAGTCCAGACTATAGACTATTCTATAGTCCAGACTATAGACTATTCTATAGTCCAGACTATAGACTATGCTATAGTCCAGACTATAGACTATTCTATAGTCCAGATTATAGACTATTATATAGTCCAGACTATAGACTGGGCTATGGTCTGGACTATAGTCTGGACTATAGTTTGGACTTTAGTGTAGTCAATAGTCTGGACTATAGTTATATATTATCTATAGTCTGTTCTATAGTCTGGACTTTGGTGTAGTTTATAGTCTGGACTATGGTCTGGACTATAGTCTGGAGTATGGTCTGGACTATAGTCTGGACTATAGTCTGGACTATAGTCTGGACTATAATCTGGACTATAGTCTGTACTAAAGTCTGGACTATAGTCTGGACTATAGTCTGGACTATGGTCTGTACTAAAGTCTGGACTATAGTCTGGACTATAGTCTGGACTATAGTCTGGACTATAGTCTGGACTATAGTCTGGACTATAGTCTGGACTATAGTCTGGACTATAGTCTGACTATAGTCTGGACTATAGTCTGGACTATAGTCTGCACTATAGTCTGCACTATAGTCTGCACTATAGTCTGGACTATAGTCTGCACTATAGTCTGGACTATAGTCTGGACTATAGTCTGGACTATAGTCTGGACTATAGTCTGCACTATAGTCAGGACTATAGTCTGCACTATAGTCAGGACTATAGTCTGCACTATAGTCTGGACTATAGTCTGCACTATAGTCTGCACTATAGTCTGGACTATAGTCTGCACTATAGTCTGGACTATAGTCTGGACTATATTTCAGACTATAGGCTTGTCTATAGTCTGGACTATAGTCTTGTCTATAATCCTGTCTTGTCTATAGTCTGGCTTAAAGTCAAGGCAAGTAATTTTTTTTTTAATTCCATTCTGTAGTTATAAAATATTTGACCCCTGTTGTATTAGTATAAATATGTATGTATATTTTTTTAAAGTTCGAATATTTTAATTTAAATATCATATATGTATGTATCTTTATGTTATGTTAAAGGATGCTTATATGAATTAATTAAACACTGAATTAATTCTTTTAAAATATTTAGACAACTAGACATAAGAACAAGTTCTTAAAAATATCAAAAAAAATTTTTGCAAAAAATAAAAAAAAAAGTTAAAAAAAAAACCCGCATAATAAATTGAAGTAATATATATTTTTGGCTAACAAACAACAAAGAAATTTTTGCTAATTTTAATTAATTTCTATAAAAAAATAAATAAACCCGATTTAAAAAAATATATATATATATATAAAACCGGCGTTGCTATTTTATTAATTGTTAAACAAAAAAGCTCTCTAGATACATATTATCATATTAAAGCTGCATAAAATTTAAAAATAAAATTTACCTTTAATCAGGATTTTCGTAGAAAAACCAAAATTTAAGGGGAAATTTATTTAACGTACGTAATTTTTAACAGAAATATTTTTTTTCTAAAGTGAGTGCGAAAAAAAGAACCTTGGTAATTACAAATTTATACCGGTTTTTATTTACTACTATTAATGACGTACAAATGTTTATTTTATTTATAGTGAATATGTAGATATCTTTATAAATATGGGCTTTAAAAAAAAAAAAAACTGTCGTGTTAATGTATGATTGTTTCGGATTACAGGGTTATGAAGTAAAAAAGCACCTTTACGTTTATTTAAAACATTATTAACTATATTAAATTTACATATATTATATGATAAACACTTAATGACAACAAAAAACTGGTCTAGTAAGAATATACAGTGATTAATAAAATTTTACGTCATAAGATCATATTCTTTGTTTTCATTGTCTGGAAAGACTAGACTAGATATATCAAAGTGTGGACTAAACTATAACCCAGACTATCAAATATTCCATAATCTGATCTACCAAATAGTCTATAATCTGGACTATAGAATAGTCTAAAGTCTGGACTATAGAATAATCTGTAGTCTTGACTATTGAATAGTCTGTAGTCTGCACTAAGGAATAGTATATAGTCTAAACTTTAGATTAGTCTATGATCTGGACTATAGAATAGTCCATAGTCTGGACTATACTCTATAGTGTGGACTTTAGACAGGACTATAGAATATTCTATAGACTGGACTATAGAATAGTCTATAGACTGGAGTATAAATTAGTCTATAGTCTGGACTATAGAAGAGTCTATAGTCTGCACTATAGAATAGTCTATAGTTTGGACTATAGAATAGTCTATAGTCAGGATTATAGAATAGTCTATAGTCTGGACTATAGAATAGTCTATAATCCAGACTATGGAATAGTCTATAATCCAGACTATAGAATAGTCTATAATCCAGACCACAGAATAGTATATAATCCAGACTATAGAATAGTCTATAGTTCGGACTATAGAATAGTCTACTGTCTGTAATATAGAATAATCTATGGTCTGAAATATAGAATAGTCTATAGTTTGGACTATAGAATAGTCTATAGTCTGAACTATAGAATAGTCTATAGTCTGAGCTGCTGAATAGTCTATAGTCTGGACTACAGAATAGTCATAGACATGGACTATAGAATAGTATATATTATGGACCATAGAACAGTCTTTAGTCTGGACTATAAAATAGTCAATAGTCTGGACTATAGAATAGTCAATAGTCTGCACTATAGAATAGTCTATAGTTTGGACTATAGAATAGTCTATAGTCTGGATTATGGAATAATCTATAGTCTGGACTATAGAAAAGCCTATAGTCGGGATTATAGAATAGTCTATAGTCTGAACTATAGAATAGTCTATAGTATGGACTATATAATAGGCTATAGTCTGGACTATAGAATAGTCTATAATCTGTACTATAGAATAGTCTATAGTATAGACTATAGAATAGTATATAGTCTGGACTATAGAATAGTATATAGTCTGGACTACAGAATAGTATATAGTCTGGACTATAGAATAGTCTATAGTCTGCACTATAGAATAGTTTATAGTCCAGACCATAGTCCAGACTAAAAATAAACTGTAGATTAGAATATAAACTGGACTAGATTCTAGTCCAGACTATATTATAGTCCATTCTATAGTCTATAGACTGCACTAAAGTAAAGATTATAGACTGAACTATGTAATAATTCACTATAGACCAAATTATAGTTATAATATACTACTATACTTTCGATTATAGGCGGGCCTATAGTCCAGACTATTATATGGATTATAGGCTAGACTATAAAGCTAATTTTAGTCCAGAATATAGCCAATGTTACAGACTATAGTCCAGACTATAGATTATACTTTAGACTAAACCATAACTCCGACTATATCACGGATTACAGTCCATAGTATAGACAAGACTTTAGTTCAGACTATAGCCTATATTACTGTCCAGATTATTAACTAGATTATAGCCCAAATATGGAATAAATTTCAGACTATTGACTTTATTATAGTCTAGTGTACAATGCTTAAGACTTTACTATAGACCGGAATCTTTATCTATCACTCACCATAATTTGTTTTAAAATCTCTTTTAAGTTCGTAATAAAATGTAAATTATCAACAACTTTTAATTTCAAATTAAACTTACATTTGCCATCGTTTGGTATTTCCCCACAGCTGATATTGAATGAAATTGATAATGAGAATAACAGACATAAAAATTTCAAAAACATTTTCTGTTTCTATAAAAAATTCTACTTTAAATGTTTCGTTATTTTTTTTTTATAAATTTCAACAAAAACAATAATAATTATAAATTAATTGCTTGTAATAATTTAATTTAATTTGTTGTTAATTATTTGTTTTCTTGTTTTATTTTTGTATAATCTTTTATTTTTATATTGACTAGTTTACGCCTTTAAAAAAAACACAACACACTTATAATTTAAAACACAGATTTTTTTTTTTTAAATATATATATTTTTTGTTAATATTTCATTTTATTTAAATACGCGCTCATTGAAATATATATATTTTTTGGATTTTTGTTTTAAAAGGGGTTTTCGAAAGACTTGCGTTACTAATGAAAGCTCAGCTTAAACTGAAATCTTAAATTCAATGTTCAATGTTTACATTCAGATTTTGTTTTGTTATTGCTGTTGTTGTTGTTGTTATATTTTTCAGTTTTTGATTTTATTTATCAAGTAAAACAAAAAAAAACCTAAAAAAGTATTGAGATTGACAGAAGCATCTGAGTTACTCTAAGGGAGGGCAACACATAGAGATACAAAACTGTTTAAATGTATTGAATTTTAGTAATGGTCATTAAGCAGGGCTGAGATTTTCAGGCTTTAATAAATATATGAGTAAGTTATTAGTAATATATAATTATAAAATCTATAATAAAAATTACATTTTATACCAAAACAGTTAACCGCAGAAAACTTCTTAAAATAGACTTGACTAGCTACAAGCATTTGCCTGAAAATCTCTGCCCTGTTTCTTAATATTGCATCGTATGTTAATGGTTGGTTTGGTTTTGTGAATTGTATTTAAAATTTATTTAAAAAAAATCTTTAAATATGTAGTATCAAGTTTATTTTTCTTTCTTTAACTTGTTTTAACCTTCTCTCTGGATAGTTGATTACCAAAATTTAATTACTGTTATAAGGTTAAAGGTTGGTTATCGGTGGTTTAATGGAGTAGAATTAATGAAGAATTGGGAACTTTATATCATAAGCCATCATAAGTTATAAATGAAAGTTAAATATCGGTAGATGGTCCTATATATGGACTTATGTGATTATGGATTGATACTTCCGGAATTTATTACAAATATTTACTTATTTATCAGGGCCATTTTCGGAAGAGGATCTTTTAAGGGGTCTTGGGTGGGACATGGAAAGAATTTTAGATAGTGAGTAATATCATAACATATTTGCAATGTAATGTTAATACCACATGTTATGGCAAACTTGAAAAAGGGCGATATGGGGTCTAGGACGAATTATTAACCAATCACCATAGGCTATGAAAGATACAATTTTCACCGTTCAAATGTATATTTTTCATAACAAGGTTAAGGTTTTTTTTTCCCTCAAGGGGATCTTGTATTACGTTAAGAGTCCCATAAGGTCCGCTGATTGCACTGTTTCATATCATGGCTTATGGGTTCTGTAGTTAGTTTAGTTAGTTTAGTATAGTTAGTTTCGTTAGGTTAGTAGTAGTAGGTTAGTTAGTTAGTTAGTAGTATTAGTTAGTAGTTAGTAGTAGTAGTTAGTTAGAGTTTAGTATAGTTAGTAGTGAGTATTCGTTAGTTAGTTAGTTAGTTAGTTAGTTAGTTAGTAGTTACGTTAGTTCGTTGTTAGTTAGTTAGTTAGTTTAGTTAGTTATTAGTTAGTTAGTTAGTTAGTTAGTTAGTTAGTTAGTTAGTTGTTAGTGTCGTAGTAGTGAGTCAGTTAGTTAGTTAGTTAGTTAGTTAGTTAGTTGTAGTAGTAGTTAGTTAGTTAGTCTAAGTTAGTTTAGTGTATTTAGTAGTTAAGTTAGTAGTTTAGTTAGGTCAGTTAGTTAGTTAGTTTAGTTAGTTCGTAGTTAGTTAGTTAGTTAGTTAGTTAGTAGTTAGTTAGTTAGTTAGTTAGTTTAGTAGTTAGTTAGTTAGTTAGTTAGTTAGTTAGTTAGTTAGTTAGTTAGTTAGTAGTAGTTAGTTAGTGTAGTTAGTTAGTTAGTTAGTAGTTAGTTAGTTAGTTAGTTAGTTAGTTAGTTAGTTAGTTAGTTAGTTAGTTAGTTAGTTAGTGTAGTTAGTTAGTTAGTTAGTTTAGTTAGTTAGTTAGTTAGTTAGTTAGTTAGATTAGTTAGTTAGTTAGTTAGTTAGTTAGTCGTAGTTAGTTAGTTAGTTAGTTAGTAGTTAGTTAGTTAGTTAGTTAGTTAGTTAGTTAGTTAGTTAGTTAGTTAGTTAGTTAGTTAGTTAGTTAGTTAGTTAGTTAGTTAGTAGTTAGTTAGTTAGTTAGTTAGTTAGTTAGTTAGTTAGTTAGTTAGTTAGTTAGTTAGTTAGTTAGTAGTTAGTTAGTTAGTTAGTTAGTTAGTTAGTGTTAGTTAGTTAGTTAGTTTAGTAGTTAGTTAGTTAGTTAGTTAGTAGAGTTAGTTAGTAGTTAGTAGTTAGTTAGTTAGTTAGTAGTTAGTTAGTTAGTTAGTTAGTAGTTAGTTAGTTAGTTAGTAGTTAGTTAGTTAGTAGTATTAGTTAGTTAGTTAGTTAGTTAGTAGTAGTAGTTAGTTAGTTAGTTAGTTAGTAGTTAGTTAGTTAGTTAGTTAGTTAGTAGTAGTTAGTTAGTTAGTTAGTTAGTTAGTTAGTTAGTTAGTTAGTTAGTTAGTTAGTTAGTTAGTTAGTTAGTTAGTAGTTAGTTAGTTAGTAGTTAGTTAGTTAGTTAGTTAGTTAGTTAGTTAGTTAGTTAGTTTAGTTAGTTAGTTCGTTAGTTAGTTAGTAGTTAGTTAGTTAGTTAGTTAGTTAGTTAGTTAGTAGTTAGTTAGTTAGTGTAGTGAGTTAGTTAGTTAGTTAGTTAGTTAGTTAGTTGTAGTTAGTTAGTTAGTTAGTTAGTTAGTAGTTAGTTAGTTAGTTGTAGTTAGTAGTAGTTAGTTAGTTAGTTAGTTAGTTAGTTAGTTAGTTAGTTAGTTAGTTAGTTAGTTAGTTAGTTAGTTAGTTCGTAGTTAGTTAGTTAGTTGTGCTATAAACGAGAGAAAGTCATACTTAACTGATCGTTTTGGATGGTGAATATACAAATAGAACTTTTTTGTGTAAAATTAATACAAAATTTCAGTCACGATACAGTCTGAACTAACGTCATCGCATTCTAATTTATATTACTTTATATTCAATGGGAATTGAATCATCGATTACACATATTTCTGCTAATGTTATCACTTTTGTCAAAAGTATCTGTTAAATTGCAGTATCAGCATTGCAATAACATTATAAAGTTTTCTTAAATCCAAACAAAATCAGACACAAAACATATTTTATTCAACAGAGAAAATGGTTTTATTATATTTTTCTTATCTTGTGTAGACTACAAAGTGTATATACCCCATTTACCCCCATTTACGTCCAGTGATATTTTTAAAACAGATAAACTGTAGCAGTATGCAGGAATGCCCGTGATTCACAAAAATACAGTTTAATAACTCAATTGATCAAATCCCTATAATTAATAGATCATATTAAAAACTAATATAGGTTATTTTCTGCATTAATAGACACCTAGTTTAAACTAGGCAAATAGATAAAAATTTGCGTAACTTTCAGTTTTTCCAATTGCCTAACAATAAAACGAAAAATCCCCTAATTATTTTGCAAATTCAGCTAAATTATTAATTTACTCTTTTCGTTGTAATATTGTTTAATTTCTTAAAACAAAACATTTTCATTTTAAGCAATAGCTCTCTAGTTTACACTGTCGTTACCTCTCTGGTGATCACTCTCTTTAAGCTTTTCAATAAAAATCTTATCGTTTGGAAATTATTATCAATTAAAATTAATACAAATGAAAAAATTCACAACAAATATAAGTATTTGTTTATACACTTGATAAAGTAACTGAAAATGAAATTAAACAATTGATGTTATTTTGTTTTTAATACAACAAGTGAAGGGAAACCAGACAGTCTGGGCAAATTTACTCAAACTTAAAAGCCGAGTGTAAAAATTTTTAAAATTTTGGTTAAAAATATGTAGTTATTTAATTTTTTTGATGTGTTTGCTGTGAACTTTGGTGATTTTTTTTTTATCCAATTTGTGTTTATTGTTAAATTTTTTTCTCAATAAATCAAAATTTTGAGAATTTTGTTTTATGGGGATTCCCTGTATATTGACATCAACCTGTAGACGCCAAGAGATAAATTTAATTCATTTAACATATGTGTGTTTATTTGTTTAACGTTGGAGTGATTTCTTGAGAAGCATCTGTTGGAATTAATACATTAACAAACAGGTATTAAAATGATTGACAATTTTAAAATTTGTAGTTGTAGCATATGAATATTATATTTAGTTTTGTTTGCGGTTAGTAACATTCTGTGATTGTGGTTGCTAGCAGAGATTTGAAAGAGTTAAATCTATGAAAATAAAAATTTATTCGAAATTAAATTAGAACAATGTTATGCTAAATGAGTTTACTATGAATAGAACGTAATGTGAATTAGAGTGTGGTGACGTTAACTTAGACCAAATCGTGACAGAAATTTTGTATTATTTTTACAACAAAAAGTTTTATTTGGATATTCACCATCCAATGTGTTAAGTCTGAATTTTTCTCGTTTAAAGAACACTATTTCAACGATAGACTAGACTATAGACTAGACTATAGACTATACCATAGACTAGACTATAGACTAGACTATAGACTAGACTATAGACTAGACCATAGACTAGACTATAGACTAGACTATAGACTAGACCATAGACTAGACTATAGACCTATAGACTAGACTATAGACTAGACTATAGAGTAGACTATAGACTAGACTATAGACTAGACTATAGACTAGACTATAGACTAGACCATAGACTAGACTAGACTATAGACTAGACTATAGACTAGACCATAGACTAGACTATAGACTAGACTATAGACTAGACTATAGACTAGACTAGACTAGACTAGATAGACTAGACTATAGACTAGAATATAGACTAGACTATAGACTAGACTATAGACTAGACTATAGACTAGACTATAGACTAGACTACAGACAAGGACTATAGACTAGGCTATAGACTGGACTATAGACTAGACTATAGACTAGATATAGACTAGACTAGAGACTGGACTATAGACTAGACTATAGGCTAGACGATAGATAGACTATAGACGAGGCTGTAGACTAGGACTATAGACTAGACTGTAGACGGACTATAGACTAGACTGTAGACTAGACTATAGACTAGACTATAAACGAGACTAGAGACGAGACGAAAACGAGACTAGGCTAACCGGGAGGGGGAGCACACTAACTAACGAACTCGAACTAACTAAAACGAACGAACGAACGAACGAACGAACGAACGAACGAAGAACGAACGAACGCGAACGAACGAACGAAAACGAACGACGAACGAACGAACGAACGAACGAACGAACGAACGAACGAAAAACGAACGAAACGAACGAACGAACGAACAGACGAAACGAACGAACAAAACGAACGAACGAACGACAAACGAACGAACGAACGAAACGAACGAACGAACGAACGAACGAACAAACGAACGAACGAACGAACGAACGAACGAAAACGAACGAACGAACGAACGAACGAAACGAACGAACAACGAAACGAACGAACGAAAACGAACGAACGAACGAACGAACGAACGAAAAACGAACGAACGAACGAACTAACGAACTAACGAACGAACGAAACGAACGAACTAACGAACGAAGAACAAACGAACTAACGAACAAAACGAAACGAACGAACGAACAACGAACGAACGAACGAACGAAAAAACGAAACGAACGAACGAACGAACGAACGAACGAACGAACGAACGAACGAACGAACGAACGAACGAACGAACGAAAACTAAAACTAACTAACTAACTAACTAACTAACTAACGAACTAACGAAAAACGAACTAACTAACTAACTAACGAAACTAACGACTAACAACGAATAACTAACTACTAACTAACGAACGAAACGAACTAACTAACTAACTAACTAACTAAACTAACTAACTAACTAACTAACTAACACTAACTACTAACTAACAACTAACTAACTAACTAACTAACTAACTAACTGACTACTAACTAACTATCTAACTAACTAACTAACTAACTAACTAAACATTTCATAGATTTTTCACAAAAAAAAATATTTTCCGTAAATTCTTTTTTCGTAAAAATATAATTTTGGACTACAAATATGATCCTAATGTTCTCAAATTAAGATTTGTTACTTAAAGATAATGACCAAACCCTATTGACACAGCTTTATATGTAAGAGGTCCCCTGAGTGGTCGCCTTCAATTAGAAAACTCTAAGCAGTCCTTACTAGCAAAGATACAGTTATACGGACAGGGCAGTCTCAGAACTACAGCCATAACTATAGCTTTGCAGGTGATGACCGGTTTTTCACACAAACGCCAAAAGCTGTAAAAACTTTTTCAGTTCCCCTATTTACCGATTGGGCAAACCCTAACATTATTATATTATATCTCACTATTTCTACTGCAAACTTGCATACGAATCTACACATTTGTATTTTCCGATTTTCGATAGTAATTACTAGCAAAACATATTTCAAATAGACAATACAAATTTTGCAATAATATTTTAACATTGTATTCCATTTGTATTGTTTTCAATAAATTAACAACAAATCATATTTTATTTAAATGTATTTTATTTAAATAAAGTTTTTTGTTTATGAAATATTTATACATATTTTACTAATTAAGGTTCCAATTACTTGCAAGTTTTTTATTCAGTTTTTTTTTTGTTTCTTTTTAATAATGAGATCCCACGTGCAGCTGGAATTGTAATTCGCAAATATTATTCCCATTGTTTGTAATTAAAACATTTCACTTTTGTTTTCGTGTTAAATCTGACAAGTTGTTATAAGAAAAAAAAAACCTTTTTGATAAGATCGTTTAGATGCTAAATGATATTTAGAAAAACGTGGTAGACTTTTATATAGTTTTAAAGGTTTCACTGAGATTAGATAGTTAATTTAGGCTTATTATTTACTTTTCATTTGTTGTTAATGTTTAAAGGCATATTTTTTATCTGGATAAATAATTAACTTAATTTTTAATATTACCTCAAATCGTTAACACTTACTAAAAAGTATTAATAACAATGAAAAATATTAATTATTACATTTATAGCTACAATTAAAATGTTCATTGATTTAGCAAACTCTTTAAGCACTTTTAATGCAAGAGACTAAGCGCTCTAGCTCTAGCTTACACCACTATCTTATTTAACACATGATTTGTGTGTCTTTATGAAGATTTTGAAGATATTTTTTTTTATAAATTGATTATAATTTTTTATAATATTTTATATAAAACTTTTATTAGTTTGATAATTAGATTTTATATTTATTATTTAGTTTCATAAAATTTTTATGAAATCATTGCTTTAAATTAATTAAGAACATATTTCTGATAATACTTTTTATAGTTATATTACAGCAACAAACAAATATTTATTAAAAGTCTGATGAAATAATTTGTTTATTTTATTTGCAAGGTTTTCCTCGGACGATGGACTAGAGTTAAAAATATAGGAGTCCAACAGACTAGACTATAGAGTAGACGATAGACTAGACTATAGACTAGACTAGACTAAAGACTAGAGTGTAGAATAGACTATAGATTAGAATAAACTATAGATTAGACTAGACTATAGACTAGACTATAGACTAGACTATAGACTAGACTATAGACTAGACTATAGACTAGACTATAGACTAGACTATAGACTAGACTATAGACTAGACTATAGACTAGACTATAGACTAGACTATAGACTAGACTATAGACTAGACTATAGACTAGACTATAGACTAGACTATAGACTAGACTATAGACTAGACTATAGACTAGACTATAGACTAGACTATAGACTAGACTATAGACTAGACTATAGACTAGACTATAGACTAGACTATAGACTAGACTATAGACTAGACTATAGACTAGACTATAGACTAGACTATAGACTAGACTATAGACTAGACTATAGACTAGACTATAGACTAGACTATAGACTAGACTATAGACTAGACTATAGACTAGACTATAGACTAGACTATAGACTAGACTATAGACTAGACTATAGACTAGACTATAGACTAGACTATAGACTAGACTATAGACTAGACTATAGACTAGACTATAGACTAGACTATAGACTAGACTATAGACTAGACTATAGACTAGACTATAGACTAGACTATAGACTAGACTATAGACTAGACTATAGACTAGACTATAGACTAGACTATAGACTAGACTATAGACTAGAATATAGACTAGACTATAGACTAGACTATAGACTAGACTATAGACTAGACTATAGACTAGACTATAGACTAGACTATAGACTAGACTATAGACTAGACTATAGACTAGACTATAGACTAGACTATAGACTAGACTATAGACTAGACTATAGACTAGACCATATCCGAATGTATATAGTTTATATTGATACACGTACTTTATTAGGTTATTATTCTGTTTTTTAACCAGTCGTTTAGAAATGCCAGACTTATTTCCCAAAAAACAATCGATTTTGTCCCACTGTGCGCTGTTAAATTTTAATAAACCACAATATATTCATTAAAAATGAAATCTGATAAACTGTTCTTACCATATATCTACCATATCGTCATTACATCTCTTCTCTTATCAACACTAAAATAAATACTACCACCACCGGTTAACACCACCTCTAGCAACAGACTAGTAGGTACATTAATTAGTCTCAGCTTCACTCATTCGTACTCATACTAATGGCCCCTCTCCCACAACAAACCCCCTCCCGATAACAACCTAACCACCCCATTAGATGCAATAACAATTCATAGTAATATACAATATGAATTGTTTATATTTTTAAAATGTTATAAAATCGACAACTAGAACTTAAGTTAAGATCATAAACCAACAAAATAAATAAAATGAAAAAAAAAAAAAATGTTGAAAACAAAAACGTCTTATCGTTTATTCTTTTATAAGATTACAGTTTTAAAATAAACACATACAGCTACATTGCCACTCACACCACCTAAGGGGAAGCGAGAATACTTGAACCTGGGAAACTGTTTGGTTTAACGAATGGAAATTGTCTATGGCTGGCCTACAACAGTTAGCTGAAAAACGCTCTAAAGTGTAACATGAGAAAAGTGTAAAGATCGAAAGAAAAGGAATATTTATAAAAAAATGAATGAATTGATTTAAAGATTTGGAATATCTGTGGAACTCTGTGATATATAAAAATCTTCCTTATAACTATTAAACTATTTAAGTAACAAAAAAAAAAAAACCTAAAACAAAATGGTTTAAACTCAATAACGTTTATTGCCTATTAAGGCTCATTATTTCTTTTTTATGGCGGGTAAGTTTTTTTTATAAATAAAATATATAAATTTTTTAACAATTTTTTCCCCCTTTTAAAGCCATGGGTCCCATTTTACCTCAGCTATCGGTATGGGGCAAACAAATAGGCATTGCACCCGAGGTTATGGGTTATATTACCTCTATTTTGCCCGTGATGTATGTTATAGCTAAACCTATGTTTTGGTTTTGTGGCCGATTATTTTACGGTAGTTTTTATTTTTTTTTACATTTTCATTGTAAACTATTTAGTTAGAGTGTAAATTTTTGTTTGTTTTAGCATTTTCGTAAATTAATCTTTATTGGCCTGATTATGTCTATGACTTTGGCCTATGCTGCTTTTTATTTTGTGCCTCAGCCTCAATCGTCTTCTATACCTTTGGAAGAGGTTTGGAATGTTACATTAAATTTAAAGGAATTACCGATTTGTAATCCAGAGGTAAGGAATAAATATATTGGACTTGAAATTTAGTCAATTTGATAAGCTATAACATTCGACATAAGTAAATACAGACAATTTTAGTCCAACTAACACTTTAACGTGGCCTCGGATAGCTCGTAGTGTCTTCTGCTCAAAAGAGTTAAAATTTACAAGCGACAAGTCTAGTCTATAGTCTAGTGTATAGTCTAGTCTAAAGTCTAGTCTATAGTCTAGTCTATAGTCTAGTCTATAGCCTAGTCTATAGTCTAGTCTATAGCCTAGTCTATAGTCTAGTCTATAGTCTAGTCTATAGTCTAGTCTATAGTCTAGTCTATAGTCAAGTCTATAGTCTAGTCTATAGTCTAGTCTATAGTCTAGTCTATAGTCTAGTCTATAGTCTAGTCTATAGTCTAGTCTATAGCCTAGTCTATAGTCTAGTCTATAGTCTAGTCTATAGTCTAGTCTATAGTCTAGTCTATAGTCTAGTCTATAGTCTAGTCTATAGTCTAGTCTATAGTCTAGTCTATAGTCTAGTCTATAGTCTAGTCTATAGTCTAGTCTATAGTCTAGTCTATAGTCTAGTCTATAGTCTATCTAGTCTATAGTCTAGTCTATAGTCTAGTCTATAGTCTAGTCTATAGTCTAGTCTATAGTCTAGTCTATAGTCTAGTCTATAGTCTAGTCTATAGTCTAGTCTATAGTCTAGTCTATAGTCTAGTCTATAGTCTAGTCTATAGTCTAGTCTATAGTCTAGTCTATAGTCTAGTCTATAGTCTAGTCTATAGTCTAGTCTATAGTCTAGTCTATAGTCTAGTCTATAGTCTAGTCTATAGTCTAGTCTATAGTCTAGTCTATAGTCTAGTCTATAGTCTAGTCTATAGTCTAGTCTATAGTCTAGTCTATAGTCTAGTCTATAGTCTAGTCTATAGTCTAGTCTATAGTCTAGTCTATAGTCTAGTCTATAGTCTAGTCTATAGTCTAGTCTATAGTCTAGTCTATAGTCTAGTCTATAGTCTAGTCTATAGTCTAGTCTATAGTCTAGTCTATAGTCTAGTCTATAGTCTAGTCTATAGTCTAGTCTATAGTCTAGTCTATAGTCTAGTCTATAGTCTAGTCTATAGTCTAGTCTATAGTCTAGTCTATAGTCTAGTCTATAGTCTAGTCTATAGTCTAGTCTATAGTCTAGTCTATAGTCTAGTCTATAGTCTAGTCTATAGTCTAGTCTATAGTCTAGTCTATAGTCTAGTCTATAGTCTAGTCTATAGTCTAGTCTATAGTCTAGTCTATAGTCTAGTCTATAGTCTAGTCTATAGTCTAGTCTATAGTCTAGTCTATAGTCTAGTCTATAGTCTAGTCTATAGTCTAGTCTATAGTCTAGTCTATAGTCTAGTCTATAGTCTAGTCTATAGTCTAGTCTATAGTCTAGTCTATAGTCTAGTCTATAGTCTAGTCTATAGTCTAGTCTATAGTCTAGTCTATAGTCTAGTCTATAGTCTAGTCTATAGTCTAGTCTATAGTCTAGTCTATAGTCTAGTCTATAGTCTAGTCTATAGTCTAGTCTATAGTCTAGTCTATAGTCTAGTCTATAGTCTAGTCTATAGTCTAGTCTATAGTCTAGTCTATAGTCTAGTCTATAGTCTAGTCTATAGTCTGTCTATAGTCTAGTCTATAGTCTAGTCTATAGTCTAGTCTATAGTCTAGTCTATAGTCTAGTCTATAGTCTAGTCTATAGTCTAGTCTATAGTCTAGTCTATAGTCTAGTCTATAGTCTAGTCTATAGTCTAGTCTATAGTCTAGTCTATAGTCTAGTCTATAGTCTAGTCTATAGTCTAGTCTATAGTCTAGTCTATAGTCTAGTCTATAGTCTAGTCTATAGTCTAGTCTATAGTCTAGTCTATAGTCTAGTCTATAGTCTAGTCTATAGTCTAGTCTATAGTCTAGTCTATAGTCTAGTCTATAGTCTAGTCTATAGTCTAGTCTATAGTCTATAGTCTATAGTCTAGTCTATAGTCTAGTCTATAGTCTAGTCTATAGTCTAGTCTATAGTATCTAGTCTAGTCTATAGTCTAGTCTATAGTCTAGTCTATAGTCTAGTCTATAGTCTAGTCTATAGTCTAGTCTATAGTCTAGTCTATAGTCTAGTCTATAGTCTAGTCATAGTCTAGTCTATAGTCTAGTCTATAGTCTAGTCTATAGTCTAGTCTATAGTCTAGTCTATAGTCTAGTCTATAGTCTAGTCTATAGTCTAGTCTATAGTCTAGTCTATAGTCTAGTCTATAGTCTAGTCTATAGTCTAGTCTATAGTCTAGTCTATAGTCTAGTCTATAGTCTAGTCTATAGTCTAGTCTATAGTCTAGTCTATAGTCTAATCTATAGTCTAATCTATAGTATAGTCTATATTCGTTCTGCAACTTGTTATACCCTAAACCTCTATAGTGAGGAGGGTATTGTGCGTTTGTACTTATGTGGGTAACATCTAAAATATTGGTCCTACCTTAAAATATACCAATCGGCGCAGAATTAGTTTCTGAGTCTTGAAACAAGGACAAAGCCTGAAAATGTTTGAAATCGGTCGATTATTTTATCTAGCCGCCAACCGTAGCCTCCGAATAGGGATCATGAGCTCATAATTTTGTTAAATGTTTTAGTATGTATCTCTACAAAAATAGGTCCATATTAAAAATAAACCACATTTTGTACATACTACTCACTGGAGTAGGTTATCATATGATCGCCCATGCCCGACATCTGTTACGAACAAAATTAACTATTGTCGGTGAAATG